GCACAGTAGTACACAGCAGAATCACTTTTTTCCAGATTTCTGAGCACAAATTTACAGCTCGTCCCTGTGCCTGCATAAACATGGTATTTCTCTGAACTGAACCCTGAGTCCAACACCACCTTTTTGTTAGGGAAGTTGTAGTAAAGGAGGCGTTGCAGGGCTCTTCCCTCTTGGTATTGGTACCAGTGGACATAGTTGGTGCTCTGATCTGGAAGATCACAGGTGATTGAGACAGATGCTTCAGCAGGTTTGATGATTGACTTCAATCTCATTTCAATGTTGGAAACTTTCTGACTTCCTACAAAAGGAACATCAACATAAAAATTAGTTAATCCTTATTTCTGCCTCTCATTAAAAAAATCTCTTTAACACCCATGAAACACTCTTACCAAGAGCCAGGAAAGCTAGGAGCAGGACTAGGGACCACAGCATGTCTTCCCCTGTCGGACTTTAGAAGAAAAAGGAACCAGATGAAGAGTTAGAAGAGAATATCAAGTGGGAAATTCAAGTCTTACTCAAAAAAAGGGTCATTTCTAGAGCAAAGGTCAGATAGTTAGCTCTGGTCTTCCTAACTGATGAGCCAGGCAGGGAGCAGAATCTGAAAATCTGTTTCAGAAGACTACCAAGTTGTGTCCTCAGAAGTGGTGTGGTGCTGGGGGTGAGGTAATGGGGTAGGACTAGGGGAGGAGCCCAGGCCTCTCTGATTCACTCTGTGCCTTGAGTGCCCCCTATGGCAGGCTGGGAGGTTTCTTTTTCAAAAAACAGTGAATAGAGTTCAAACGCCCAGTGCATGGGATTGTTTTTAAAATGTCCTCTTCTAAGCCATCTACCCAATATATTCCAATTCTGAAAATGGAAAAAGTAGGACCCCTTCTCCCCATCTTCTGTCCTCTGGCTGGAAAGATAGGGCTTCAGTATATTTGAATCCCTGACTCTACGTTTTTCCAGAGTGCCCGAGATGAGAGGATAAAAAGAGTTAAAGTAGCCATGATTCTCTCCTCACTCTGTGCTTTTGATAGTGAGTGATTGATTGTTGCATCCTAGGTGAACACTTGCAAGATTTTAAGACTCACTGTAGGATCAGCCCTGGACTTGTAAACACAAGGTCAGCAGTTCAAAACTACCAGCTGCTCTTTGGAGTCCCTATACAGGGTTGCTATGAATCTGAAACAACTCGTCGGCACTTGTAACAACAACAACAGATAGTAAGACAGGAGTCCTGGTGTGGTGTTGTAGAAAAATCACTAGAATGTTAACAGGAAGGTAGGCATTTCAAACTCACAACTCACTCCTTGGACAGCCTACAAAGGGACTCTCTGAGTCAGAACTGACACCAGGGCACTTAACAGCATAGTAGGATATGGAGTCCTGGTATGGAGCTGGAGGAGAAGGTACTTGTGGGTCCTGGAATTTACTTGATAGGGTCATTCTATCCAATATCTTCTTCGTTTTAACCAACTGTTTGGGTGGGACCAAGCATGCAAATAAGGTAGGTGTACAGGTTTTTAAGGCTGGAATTGGTAGCTTTGCCAGCCCTGTAGGTTTAAAAGAGCATCTTAGAAGAAGGAACAGATGATCCCAGTAGCATCAAGAAAGAAAAGGATGAGTGGAGT